CACAGAGAAATCCACCAAACAAGCAAACCGAAAAGGAAAAAGAAAAGAAAAAGAACCCAAAAGACAAAGGACAGTCTAAGAGCATAAAACCAGAATTCACAGCTACAAATAAAGAGCAGGGTGTATGCAGTGCTGATGGAAGAGCATATACAAAGAGAGAAATGACATGGGCGGGGAGAAAGGGAAATTGGACAATGACCAGACAGAGAGACTTTAAGAGGCTTTATTCAGACAAAGAGGAGAATATGGTAGGTGGCGAGGAGAAAGATACCAAGATAATGTTACCCAAAGAAACTATATAGTCTGATTATTCCAGTGAGAGAAAGGAAGGTAATGATGGAGGTGTAGAATATGCATCTAGAGAATGGATTAAATGTGACTGTTTAAGCAAAGCAATGACCAGAGTGCTCAGTCCAGCAGAGTGGATGGATAAGAGTGAGATAAGGGAAAATATATCTGAATAGAAGAATTGATCTAGAGTTAATCATGGCAATGCATCAATGTTAGTCTTGCCACAGACTCTGATTAAAAAAAAAAAAAAAGGCAGCTCTCCAGCGGGGATGGGAGTTTTTTGGTGTAGGCAGGTCTCGCCTCCACTGCGGTTCCTCGGGCTGCTCCCTGAGGCCCCAGTAGTTGGTGGTGGTGGGGAGAAAAATGACAGCGCCCCAGTCCCTTCTCAAACCAAGCATTACAAATCACTCTTTTGGGTTCAGTCTCCCTGTGCTGCGGGCATAACCAAGGTGGGCCGTGGTCTATGTCCCAACCCCCACCTCGTTTCCAGGTCTTAGTCTGTGCACTTTATTGATACCGCCCGAAATGTAATCCTGCAGGTCTGGCTACTTCCCCGTCAGGAATCGAGCCAGGAGAGCAGTGGAGCAGTTTCTCCTGGCGCCAACTGGGACCAGGGCACCTACCCGAAAAACAGCGCCACAGCTAGAAATAGGACAACCCTCCAAATTCCCTGCAGTTTGAGATAGGATGTTTGGATTCCTCTCCGTCCCAGGCTGAGGTTTTTCTCTTCTGCAGGGACAGTTCTATGAGCAGTTTCAGCCACTCTTCAGTTTCTCCTCATCTCTCCTTGGTTCTCCCTGTAGGGGACTCCCTCTCCTCCATGTCTTTGGGTCCTGGCCCATTTTTATCTTCCCCAGTTCTCAATCACACACCTATGAGGCTGTCTTCGTAGTGGTCTCTCTCTCTTTTCCTCCCGACTCCTGTGGTTCGGTGTCCTATGGCTTCAGGCCTTCTTTGTTTGAGAGATGCAGGCGATCGAAATGTACGGAGCTCCCTACTTCTCCACCATCTTGCCTCCGATCTTGTTCTCAGCCTTCTTGGGCATGTGCCTGGGAGTAGAATTGCTGGGTTCTAGGGTAACTCTAACTTTTTGAGGAACCGTCAGATTTCACAGTTACCATACCATACCATCCAGATTTCACAGGACCATTCTCCATTCCCACCAGCAGTGTATGAAGATTGCAGTTTTTGCCACAATCTCCCTACCACTGGTTCTTTACCCTTTTATTTAAAATATAGCCATCCTGGACAGTATTTCATTGTGGTTTTAATTTGCGCTTATGTAATGACATTCAGTATATACTAATTTTTAACCTACACCTTTATGCTAAATAAATCAACAAATTAATTGAACAGAAAACTCAAGCAGTATATATAAGTTAACATTATGATGAAAGCATCATATCAACATGCTGCAATTCATGTGTATACTTCCTGTAGATCTCCAATTACATATATGTATAGGCACATATGACAGTAGTCCCATGGTAGACTAAAGTAGGCCTTACCATCTGGGATTCTCAGATGACTGTGACACACACCTGAGCAGTTTCTGAGAAGAAATGGATCTTTCAGGAATTGTTAGAAGCCATCTGAATACTAAATGCAAGGAATGTCCTAGATATAAAAAGTAAAATGGTTGATTCTTTTTCTAGTTTTCTTCTAAGTTTAATCTCTTAAAAGAATCTTACTGCTGTTATCTGCACGTTAAAGTGAATGTAATCCAATGTGTTATAATTGCAGCAAGTACAAAAGATTCAGGATTAGTGAAATAGTCTAATTTACTACTTGAACTAAGTGGACTCCAACTCCTAGACTTGTATTCTTAGCGTTCTCTTCTATTCCTGACTGGCTGTCAACTGTCACCTGACTTTTACTTCTGTTCTGAATGTAACTGTACACTTTCAAATATGGGCCCTGAAATTCTATTCTAAAAATCCTTTAAAAAGGTGTTTAAAATAATAGCAAGTAGATGCTGGGTGGAGTGATTTACAAGATTACTTTAGGGCTTTAGAAGATGGATTCTGTGATGACCATCTTGACTACTTAGTTATTTCCTCTTTCTGTTACTAGGTTATTTTTGGATACGTGACACCTGGTATTTGATTGCTAATATTTCAATGACCTTGGTTTTTAAAATCATCCCACTAGTGTGAACTTTTGACATATCACACTTTTATGAATCAGATAATTAAATATTAAACCAGGAGAGTTTAGCTAGGGAAATTTTCAAGCAAGGCTAAGATGGTCTGATGTCCCAATGAAACATTTACTGGGCTGGCTATTTTGAGTTCGTGTGCCTGATGTTAATTAGTTTTGTTAGCAGATGTTTGTTGATAGCTAATGTACTCTGCTACCTGGTCTTTTCAAAAACAATTATAGATCCTGGATTGCACTCTTAAATTAATAGTGCACTTGCCAGATCTAATAGAAGAGCTGTTCTCACCTTTTAACACCCTCACCCCACAAGATGATCTGAGTTGTGATGAATATTACTTTGGGGCTTAGATTAATATGTTTTTCTGTCTTTGCACTTACTTACAATTGTCATTATAAAATAGAGTAAGGATGCCTTTTGTTCTTCCTTTCTCGGATGTAAACCAATCATTCATATAAGTACTACTGTTTATCTTGGTTGCATTGTTCCACTGGCTCTTTGCTATGTAGTCAATGATGTCTATATCGTCAGTTTTGGGAAGCTAATAATTGATTTAAGGAAACTGTTTTAAATATTACTATTCATAGAAAGCTATCCTGTTTTGTCCTACATGAATACTGCCTGGTATTTGTTCCTATTGTCCACCCTCTCATTCCGGAAACTATCAGCTTTTACTTGATGGAAAGAAATAATGATGGTTTGACTCATTTCTTTGTCATCTAATGAATTCAGATAAAAATTAGAAGTAGCTAAATCATGTCTGAACAATTTAGAAACTGTTATCTCCAAGGGAAATAAAGTAATATTCTTTAACAATAATTTACAGGTTTAGTGGAGAAGTTGCTATGAGTAACAGATTGGCACATGAAAACTTTATTTTCAAAGGGTTATACCTCCTCACATATTTCTATACACGTGTTCCTTTCTCTCTCCCAGTTCATCTGATTGCATGTGCAGGTTTCAAAGTGTGTATGGTTACTAAGTCATGTTTAATGACTAAAAGTTGCATGTTGTCAAGCACAGTGAGGCACTGATGAGTGTCTAGAAGATCAAAGGTCAAAACACGGAGTGAGAATGACTTCGAGGAGGCTTAGGAAACTGTAAAGACATGCAAAAAATAATGAGCTTGAAGTGAAAAATAGATAAGAAGGAAATGTATCAAACTGAAGAAATATTATTACCAGGCAGAGAGAGAGAGAGAGAAGTGTAAGGGGGGGGGGGGGTGAGATGCCAAGGAATTAAAGTGCATGAGTGAATTTAGGTGAGGAAAAAAAAGATTTTCTTACCTAAGTTGCAGGTCACTGACCTAAAGTGGTCATTGGTGTCGTTAGCAATGAAGGATGACTTCTTAAGGGATTATTTCCCCCTGAATGTTTAGACTCTGAAATATATATTTTTTTCAGTTCTCTTTATTTCTCCTCCATTTGCATGTGAAATTTTGTATTCTTGGTTATGTTTTCTTCACAAAGCTCTTAATGATTGGGAACAAGATTTCCTTTTAAAATTATAGATGTTAAGAAAAACTAAATAATGAAACAAACTATTACTAAGTATGAGGAGGGTAGCTTTTTCAAAATACAAAAATGTAATTTAATATTGTAAAGTTGGTATAACTAGATGTACCAGTATCAGTTAGGATCTTTGCTTTTACTGAAGTGATATCACGTGTAACATCATCCTCTAAATCTATACCATTGATTTTAACTGCCAGAGCTAAAGATATCTGCAAGGTTTATCATTAAAGTTTTAAGAAGACAGTACACTATAGTCGAAAAAACATATAGTTTGGCATTGGGCAGGCTGCAGCTCAAATTCTGACTCAGTCATTCTTTATAACTTTGGGCACATTACTTAATTCCTTTGAACCTTCACTTCCTACCCACTAAATAAATATATTTGTAAAGCAAACATAGTTTCCCATGTACAATAACCATTCATAGATGTGTGTATTAAAATGACCATTATCATCCTATTTTTCCTCCTCTGTTAATTAAAAATAATTAGTAATTCGTTTTATCTTTCACTTTTCTCTACTGCTTCTTTTGACTTTCTTTCTTTTCATTCATATACCATTTAGCAGGGCTTTGGTTGAAAGAGATGCATCAATTCTAGAACCATGGGACTCAAAAGACCTTAAGTAGCTACCACATCCATCCCTGTATCAAAACAATGAAATAGCTGGATGATTCAAGACCAAAAGAGATTTTTCTCTTTGCATAATTTAAGAACAGAATAGTTATGACCTCTTTTGGTAATGTCATATAGGATATTCTTTCTCTATAGTCTATGTATCTCTTTATTCAATCAATCCATTTAAAAGGAAAGGTGTACACTTCTATATATATAATAATGCCTGCCCAAGTTGTAAACCTTTTACAGTTTGACTCAGGCCTGGCTGAGTGTCCTTTACATTTCTTGCTGTTGGTTCTGCTTTCAGCTAAAATGTAGAGGGTCACAAAAGATCACTGCTTATGACATAACAATGAGAAATGAAACTGAACTTGGTAACCTACAAAGAGATGCATTTTCTTTGAAGCCATCAAAGAGCTATGAATCCAATGGAACTTTGAATGATTCTGAGTGGGGTGTAGTAGCAGATTCGAGTCCCGTGGAGATACAAATACAGAATTTATCTACCCCACCTTCAAATACTCTTCTGTGGGATTTCTGCTGAATAAACAGCTACATGGAAACTTAAGAGCTAGTCTGGAAAACGAGATCTCATAAGGTACTTAGATCCCGAATCCCTGTGGAAAGACATACTTAATTCTATCCATAAGATACTTGAAACTAGAAGTGAGCTAAAACAAGCTGAAGTAGAAAATCAGCCCCAACTCTATTCAACTCCTTATTAGGGCCAAGAGATCAGCCTCTCTAGATGTCTGCCAAGGAAAAGGGGAGCATTTTCTGTGGGAAATATCACCGATTTCAGTCTTGACTATTGTTTCTTACACAATGACTAATGAAAATATAAAAACTAAGAGACATGCAAAAAAGCAAGGAAATATGGTTCATAATAAAAATTTTAAAAAGCACACTCATGGGGATGTTAGAGTTAATAGAAAAAGAATTTTGAAATAATATTTTAAATATGTTTAAAATTTAGGGGAAAAAAGGTGACCAAAATGGATGAGAAGATGAAGGATGTCGAAAAAGGAAAAGAAACTTAAAAAAAAAAAAAGAATCAAATGTAAGTTTTAGAACTGAAAACTACAATATCTGAAATGAAAAAAAATATTCAATGGGCTTAAGAGTGGAGTGTATTGGACAGAACAGAACAAAGAATTAGTGAACTAGGAAATATGTCAGTAAAAATTATTCATAGTCAAGTAGAGAAAGAAAAAATAATTTAAAAAAATACCAGAAGAGAGTATCAGAACTCTGGGACAAAATAAAATGAACATTCGTGAAATTAGAGGTCCAGAAGGAGAGGAAGGAGTGTGACACATGGTTGAGAAATAATGGCCAGGGATTTTCAGAATTGATTAAAACCATTACTTCCATATTCAAGAATTTCAGTGAACCACAAGCAGGGTAACTACAAGGAAGCTATACAGAGACACATCATAGTGACCTTGCTGAAAACCAAGATAAAGGGAAAAATTATAAAGTAACCAGAGGAAAAAAATGAAATACATTTAGACGAACAAGATAAGAATAAAGGGAACTTGTAATCATAAACAACATAAACCAGAACACAATGGAATTACATCTTTAAAGTAGTGAAAAAGATAAAATCTACTATAACCTAAAATTCTATACTCAAGAAGAAATAGTTTTCAAAACTGAGTTTTAACTTAAGCCTTTTTCAGACATACAAAACCTGGGAGAAACTACCGTCAGCAGTTTATACAGCACAATTGATCCTTTAGCAATGTGGGGATTAAGGGCACTGACCCCTTACATAGTAAAATATCTGTGTAAAACTTTTGATTTCCTTCAAACTTTAAGTACTAATAGCCTACTGTTGACTGTAAGCCTTACCAATAACAAACAGTCGATTAACCCATATTTTGTATTCTATATACTGTATTCTTACAATAAAGTAAGCTAGAGAAAAGAAAATGTTATTATCAAAATCATAAGGAAGAGAAAACGCTTTTATAGTACTGTATAAAATCTGTATGTAAGTGGGCCCAAGCAGTTCAAACCTGTGTTGTTCAAGGGTCAACTGTAATAGTAAAGAAAGTTCTTTAGGCTGAAAAAATATGGTCCCAAGTAATAGTCAGATCTGTAATAAGGAATAAAATATACAGGAAAAGGTAAATATATGATAAATGAAGAAGATTATGTATAGTATTTCTTTAAGACTATTCATTATCTAAAGCAAATACAGTTTCAAAGAACTGTAAAGTTTATAATCCATATAGATGCAAAATGTATGAGAATAATTTCATACAGAATAGCACACAGAATAAGACAAATGGAACCCTACCGTTGTAAGGTTGTTACATTATTTATGAAGTGATATAATATTAATTCAAGTGTCCTGTGACAAATTAAAGATGCATATTATAATCACTACAGAAACTACATAAAGAATAATGCAAAGTGATATAGCTAAAAAGTTAATAGAAAATAGGAAGTGTAATGCAAAACAAAAATACTTAAAACAACTTACTCAAAGGATGTCAGGAAATGATAAAGAAAATAACCCTGATAAGGCAAATAGAAAACAAATAGAAAGATGGTAGATTTAAGCCCAGTTGTATTAGTAATTACATTAACTGTAAATGGATTAAATCCTCCAATTAAAGGGCAGAGAAAATCAGATTATGGAGATAGTATATCAAAATAAGATCCAAATACATGTGACTTACAAGAGACACATCTTTTTTTTTTTTTTTTTTTTTACAAATAGTTTATTGTCAAATTAGTTTCCACATAACACTCAGTGCTCATCCCCACAAGTGTCCTCCTCCATGCNAAATTAGTTTCCACATAACACTCAGTGCTCATCCCCACAAGTGTCCTCCTCCATGCCCATCCCCCCCTCCCCCCACATCCATCAGTCCTCAGTTTCTGTCAGCATTCAAGAGTCTACAAGAGACACATCTTAAATATAAGGACACTGCTAAGTTGAAAGTAAAGGGATGAAGAAAATACACCATGCTAACATAAATCATAGAAACCTGATGTTACTGTATTACCACCAAACAATATATATTTCAAAGAAAATAGATGAAGGCAAAGAGAGATGATAGATAAAACTGAATGGTTTATAGCCATGAAACCATCAATTCATCATGAAGACATCACAATTGTATCTTGAGTATGCACCCAATACCAAACTTTCAATATTTCACATAAAATTTTACTGTTCCTCCCTTCATAGCCTCCTTCTTCTAGTAGTTCTATAATCTTAGAGGTAATTTAGCCATCACTATCACCTAGACACATATCTCTGTGGAGTACAATACTATTATTCAGCTAGGAAAAGGATTATTTGGCATAACTTGTTTATCTTTTGATTTATTCCCTCATCGAAGGCATCTAGTGCAATGACATGGAGTCTACCAAGTATTAGAGACCTGGCTTCAGGCCTTGGTACTGCTGGTAACATCAGGCAAGTCACTCAAATCACTGAGAGCCTCAGTTTCCTCATTGGGGAATGGGTTTGGAAATGCCTGCTTTGCCTAATTTTTAGACTTCTTAGGAAGCCTAAATGTGGAAATGTATGCAGTGCTGGATACACATGAGACATCATTGTGTGAGACACAATAGTGAGCTTGCTTTTTAGCACCTGTCTAATCCTGGCTCATGTGCAGCTAGTGGGCCCAAGGTGTCTTTGCCTTATTCATCAGTTTAGTCTACTTTATCCTGAGTCTTTTACAGACAGAGCCAAAGGAGACTGATAAACCTCTATGAAGAAGCTCAGAGCCCTTTTATACCTTTTATAGTAATATATATATAATTATATATATTTTATTATTTATATATATTTTTTATTTATATATTTATAATATATAATATATATAAAATATATATATTTTATATATATATAATATATAAAATAATATATTATAATATAATAAATTTATTATAATAATATAATATAATATAATATAATATAATAATATATTATAATATAATAAATTTATTATAATAAAATATTATAATATATATAATATATAAAATATATATAAAATAATATATTTTATATATTATTTACATATTTATAATATTATACATAATATATTTATATTTATTTTTATATATATAAATATATATATAAATATATATATATATAATTTTATACCTTTTATATTCACCAAAGAGGGAAATTTGAAGATTCTAAACAGGATAATTAAACCAGGAGGCAAGTCCTATTCTGAGATCTGGTTAAAAATTTCACAAACATAATGGAAAGCATTTAACGTAAAGATTAAAATTTTTGACCAAATTTTAAAAAATGTATTATTATTACATTTTTTACCTAAAAAGTGGTTTTCCATTTGGTTTTAGAGAGAAACTGATTTCCATGTGTAAAAGGAATAGAACTGGTTTTGTGTGGATTGTCTTTTATGGAGGTGTATTTTCTAGTGATAGAACTTTCCTGCAATGGGATGAGGTTACCAGAACAATTTTCCTTGGCATATAAGAACATTATAGGACTATGTGAAATTATAGTTCTAAGATTTGGGAAGTTTGAAATTGTTTAATGTATTTATATTATCCATTAAGGGGTTGGTAGATAAGGTGAGCCTTTTAAGAATAACCAATATAAATGTTATTTGGAAGTCACTTAGTTATCTAAATCTTAAATAAAATATATGTCTAAATCACGTCTAAATTTTAGTAATAACATTTCCAAATAACAATAATAGTACTTTAAGACTCAGAAACAAATAATCTCCTCAAGAATATCAATAGTTGTAATGTAATTATTACAATGAGCATAAGGAAATTATATTAAAATATCTTAGGTATTTGCTGTATCCAAAACATTAATATTATGATTCATGAAATTTTGTACATGAACATCTATACACAAGAGTTTTCTTCAGTATTTGAAGCAAAATATTGCTTCCCGCATACCTGCACAAATCTATATATGCTTTTATGTTCTGTTAAAAACAAACACGACTATGAAGAAAATTTCACTGTTTATATCTTGAGTATGACTGTTCAATTGCTCATTTGTTTGTTATGTTTCTTAATATAATATAGGCCAATCTGATGCTTACAACATAACAGAATAATTTCCTGTTGTAAATGTATTTCTTTTTTAAAAATTATTTTAATGTTTATTATTTATTTTTGAGAGAGAGAGAGAGAGACAGAGCATTAGCAGGGAAGGGGCAGAGAGAGAGGTAGACACAGAATCCGAAGTAGATTCCAGGTTCAGAGCTGTCAGCACAGAGCCTGATGCAGGGCTCAAATTCATGAACTGTGATATCATGACCTGAGCCAAAGTCAGATGCTTAACTGACTGGGCCACCCAGGTACTCTGAATGTATTTCTTTTTCTTTCTTTCTTTCTTTTTTTTAGAGAAAGAGAGAGAGAGAGAGCACAAGTGAGTGCTAGTGAGCGAGAGGGAGGGGCAGAGAGAGAGAGAGAAAACCTTAAGCACGCTCCATGTTCCTGCTCAGCACAAAGCTTGACATGGGGCTCAATCCCATGACCCTGGGATCATGACCTGAGCTGAAGTCAAGAGTTGGATGTTCAACCAACGGAGCCACCCAAGTGCAGCATAAATGGATTTCTTAATCAGTAGTAACCAGAAAAAACTGTAGGAAATGTTGTAGGACACTGATAAGGGAAAATAATAAAAGAATTGAAGGAAATGATCCTGGTGCCAGGAGTCAGAGAGAATGACAGAGTCAGCTTGGGGTGTGGGAAAGTAGAATTAAAGGGTTCTATATGTATGATTTCAGGAAGGTCCATCTAACTTGGACCCTTAGTTTTCTCATCTGTAAAATGGGGATAATAATACCTGCTTGTTATGATGATGACATCAGATTATGTTTGTAATAATTTAATGCAGTGCTAGGGACAGAGTATATAGCAAACATACACTAGGTTCAACTAATAATGTGAAAATTCACCTTTCCACTGAAATGAGGTTTAAGAAGTTCTGTCATTTCCATCTTGATTTACTTAATTTCTCTATATAAATGATTAGTTCTGGATCAGAAGATTACCTTTG